ATTCTGCAGGTTTGATGCATTTGCTGCAATCAGAGAGAGTTCATGGGTTAGGGCTCTTGCAGCTCCTTTCTGTGCCTTGCAAAGAGAAAGTGAGGCTTCAAAGTGATTCAAAATGCATTTCAAAGGTGTTTTTAAAAGCTGAATGGTGCTGCCTCTCTTTGAGAGCTTCCTTTGCCGACCCAACCCTCAGTCTTTGACACCTACAGCCCTTTGAAGCTCTGGCACAGTGAGAACAGGGAATAGCACCGTGCCTGGCCCAGGCCAGAGCTGAGGCAGGGCCGTGGGCTCTGGATGGAGCAGAGGCCCCACCAGGTGATTTCTGTGTGCAGATTCAGACGACGGAGCTGTCGGCGAGCCAGATCCAGAGCAGCACGCGGCGGCTGGCGGAGCAGCTGGGGCAGAGCAGGACGCAGCTCCAGGGCGACGTGCGGCGCGCGCGGCAGCTCCTGCAGCGCCTGCGCGCCTTCCTGGCAGGTACAGGGCAGGTACCAGGGCAGGGCACGGCTGCAGCCTGCCTCCTGCATGGCACAGCTGCTCTGTGCAGTGGGCAGAGCCTCACTGGGCTTGGAACAGACCTCCAAGGTCACAGTCCCCATCCCCAGCCCAGAGCAGTGAGTGCCACGTCCGGGTGTTCCCTGGGCGCTCCAGGGATGGATTTGTGGCCAGCAGTGACCTGATGCACAGAGGTTTTCTGGCCATGCTCACTGATGCAGACAGACAGATGACCCTTCTCTGGAGCAGGCTGTTAATCAGATGAGGATTCCTTGTTGTCCTACAAGCTGATGGGATGACTTATTGTTCACAGACAGATTGTAATAACATAATGAGCCTCCTGAGCATTAGCAGAATAAGAAAATCAGGTCATTTGGTGCTGCCTGGTGTTAATGATGAGTGAAGATATTTCTGAGCTAATCACAGGGCTAATGTCCCTTGGGCTCTGCCTGCTTCTGATTTATTTTTATTTGTGAAATGAAAAAACGCTTGTCTTGAAACACACTCTCATCTGCTCAGTGAGGGCTGCCTGACTGCTCTGGGCTCAGCCATGGTGTTAGCATTGCCAAATTCAAGGTACCATTTCAGCTGTTTCCTGAGGGTTTTGCTGGTGTGAATGAGAAGTGCGTGGAATTCAAGGAGATGAGTTCAGAAGGGATCCTGGCAGCTGTCTGGAATGAGGAGATGTGTGTGAGACGTGCATGGGTGTCTGCCCTCCTCCTCCCTTGCGTTTGCACTCCCACCTTCCCTGATGCCGTCTGTCTGCTGGCTCTGCAGACAAGGACACGGATCCTGCCTCCATCCAGGAGATCAGTGAGTCAGTTCTCTCCCTGCGTCTCCCCACGGACGCTGCTGCAGTCCGGAGGAGAATGACCGAGATCCAAAAGCTGGCGACGGAGCTGCAGTGCCCCGAGGACATCCTTGCCCAGACGGCCGAGGACATCGCCAGGGCCAAGAGGCTGCAGCAGGAGGCAGAGCAGGCCAGGTGGGTGGGGGTTCAAGGCCATTGCCAGCTGAAGGTCCCTCAGCTGGGCTGGAACTGGTGGTTTTCAGCTGGGCTCAAATCTTGCTCTGCCCGAGCTGTCCTGACTTGCACAATCTGAAGTTTTAGGATCTTCTGTGTCCATCCAGTGCCTAAAAGAATGAGTCTGCAATCTCCAGACACCTCCCTGGGGTCCCAGTGTGAATAAATCTCCCCAGAATAGATCCTGTAATAGATACCAGGACAAGAAGAGCTTTATGGAAAGCAGTGGAGGCTTTTCTCTTATCTCCAGTGCCTGTGCTGGGAGATGGCAGCATTGCCCTGGTATTAGCTGATATTGGTGACCTACATCCTAATTGCACAAGAGAGCATGGGGACAGTTAATGGGCTATTTGTTTTCTGGGTGAAAGTTGGGATGATTATTCCACAGCCCCTTAAAAAGTAATTACAGGGTGTCCTTGCCAATTTGGAGCATCTGCATTGTCACAAGTTGACTTGCAGCAATACCCCAGCGAGAAGGTCAGCAGGATAAATCTGTAAACTCCTTGGCAGTGTCTGACACCTGCTTAACCTGCTGGAAGTGATGAGACAGGGGAGCCTGGCTTTCTCCAGGGCTCTGTCACCCAGCCTGAGCAGTCCCACTGTGAGCAGAAAACTGTTCATTGGAGCTGCTTTCCCTTTGACACCTTGTCATGCCCCATAAAATAAACGTTTCTGACTAGTTTGAAGGAAGGTGTTTATCCCCCCTTCTCAGTTGTCTCCTCTGCTGGAGGCTGTGAAGCAGAACTGATGTTCCTCTCACAAGGAAACCTGCTGGAGTCCAGATGTGTGGGTTTTGGGGGTGGGACATTGCAACCTTCCCAGCAGCAATCCTCTCCTGCTTCCCAAGCTCCCTGATTTTACCTCTGTGACCTCCACGCCCAGTCTTTGCCCTTATGACACTCACTCCTGGCTGCTTCCCACCTTTCCCTAGGAACCGGGCAAACGCCGTGGAGGGCAGCGTGGAGGAGGTGCTGGGGAGCCTGCAGCGAGCCAACACGGTGCTGCTGGAGGCCCAGGGGGCCCTCAGGGGCTCGGGCTCCTCGCTGCGCTTCATCCAGGAGCGCGTGGAGGAGGTGAGGGACGCCTGGCGGCCTCCCAGAAACCATCCCGAGTGCCTGTGCCCCCTCCTTCAGCCAGCAGAGCTGGCACAGGGAGGGCTCTGGATGTGACTCCGCTCCTGACGGGGCTCCCTCTGCCCGCAGATCGAGGCTGTCCTCGGGCCAGCTGAGAAGAACGTGGTGGCCATGGGGGCCGGGCTGGCCGGGCTGGCCGAGCGGCTCTCGCAGCTGCAGCACAGCACGGAGCAGAACCGCCTGCGGGCCGGGGACACGCGGGACACGGCGGGGACAGCGGCACAGCAGGCCAGCGGGGCCCCGCAGGTACCGGCTCACAGCGGGGCCCAGCATGGCCCAGCTCACAGCAATGCCCAGCAGGTACCGGCTCACAGCAGCTCACAGCAGGGCCCAGCAGGTACCAGTTCACAGCAATGCCAGCAGGTACCAGCTCACAGCATGGCCCAGCAGGTACCAGCTCACAGCAGGGCCCAGCAGGTACCAGCTCACAGCAATGCCCAGCAGGTACCGGCTCACAGCAGCTCACAGCAGGTACCAGCTCACAGCAGGGCCCAGCTCACAGCAGCTCACAGCAATGCCATCAGGTACCAGCTCACAGCAGTGCCCAGCAGGTACCAGCTCGGGGTGTGCCCACTGCCAGCACAGCCCAGCCCAGCCAGCTGTGCCCTGGGCGAGGCCAGGACACCTTCCTGTGCGGTCATGGCTGCTGAGCTGTCACACCACAGCATCGTCCCGCTGCTGAACCTCTCCAGAGCCATTCCCAACCCCAAGGCCCTTTGCTGGGAGCTCAATTCTGGTCTGTCCTGCTTGAGGCAGGGCAGCTCGTGGAGCTGTCTGTCGGTCTGTGGCTGCATCACAAACTGGCACACATTTGGTAACAAAGCTGTGGTGCAGTATCCATTTAATATCCAAACAAGATCAAACACTGGAATTGCCCCTCTGCAGCGCCTGCTGGATGCCACCTGCAGCGTTTTCCTTGCCTTTCCCCAGGCTCTGGCCCAGGTGAAGGAGCTGTACTCGGAGCTGCAGAGCAGGCTGGGGCAGGGCCCGGCGCTGGGCGAGCAGGGCAGGAGGGTGCAGAGCATCGGCCAGGAGGCACAGGCGCTCTTCCAGGAGACCGTGGGCATCATGCTCAGGATGGAAAGTAAGGCTCTCAATGTCAATGTCATCATGTCCTGGGGAAGAGCTTGGACTGCTGCTGTAATGAGGGACACGGCACTTTGGGCAGTGAGAGGGTGGGGTCTGGGCTGGAGCTGGTGGTGCTGTGCCAGGAAATCGAGAGTTTTCGAGGATGCCACCACGAAGGGAAGCCCTGCCTGCAGTACCACTGTGCTCCTCTTTTCCTCCACACACTCATTTCCATTTTTTGGCATTCAGAACTCATGGGAGTGGTGTTTTGGGGGTTTAGAGGGTGGGGGGCAGAGGGAGTGCAGGACGTTGGTTTTCTTGCCCTGTCAGAGCTGTGCAGGAGTGAGGTGGAGGCTCAGCCCAACCCCACCACGTAACCCTTCCCTTCCCTGCCCTCCCTCCTCAGCTCTAGAGTCGGAAATTCAGGAAGGCAACAAGGCTCTGGTGTCCAGGATGTCACGGCTGTCGGGGCTGGAGGAGAAGGTGGGAAAGATCCGGGACAACATCAAGAGGAAAGTCGCCTACTACGAGAGCTGCTCCTGAGCAGCCCCGGGCACTGCTGCCTCCTCTGCACACACCCACTGCTGCATTCATCCCACTTTCCAGCTGGAGCTCTCCTGTGCCCAATATCCCTATTTTTAGCAAGTTAATTTTCCATACCTCTGGAAAATAGCTGCACTGAACCGAAGGAGCAACCCCATGGAGGGGGTTGGACTGGCCAAAGCTGCCCAGTGGTTGGAGGAGAAAGGGGGAGAGACATCAGGCTTCCATGGCAAATAAACACATCCCCAGGTTGTTATTTCCAGAGGGCTTTATAAACCGAGAAATTACTTTTTTTCTTCTTTTAGCCAATTCAAGCTCTTTAAGCTGAATTTCACTGTTCAGATTAAAGCCCTCCTGTGGGGTCTTCTAAAGCTTTTTATCTGTGCTGCAGTTAATTCTTCAAACATGCCATGGCTTCAGTACTTCCCTCTGAGATCTTCCTTCAAATAAGCAGATCAGAGAAATGGAGAATTTTATCTCCCTCTGTACAACATACCTATATTTATACAAATTCAGGAAACACAGGCTCATAGTCAAAGGTGAAGTCAGATGTCTTGTTTGATTTTCTGCCACAATCTGCTTATTTTCCACAGAACATTTTGCCAGAAAAACACCAGTGGGAGCAGGTCTGGGATGCACAGGGAAAGCTTTAGGAGGGACTTAACACACCATTTCCATGTCAGATTTCTATGAATAACCAAGAGGCCCTTTACAAAACAAATCTCAGCTTTATTAAGCAAGTGTTCATTGTGCAATTAACAGCCTTGCAAGGGGAGCTCAGACCTTGCTGTGGTATTGTCACACACAGGGAGGTTTCTAGCAGGTTCTGTCTCCTGTTGCACTGAGGGCTGGGCAGCTGAATCCAGAGTGCCAAAGCCTGGAGTAACCAAGCCCGAGGAGAGGAGAGGAGAGGGCTGTAAAAACAAGGGAGCTGCCACGGGAGTAAAGCTCTGCATGGCTTTGGTTTGTGGGGCTGATGTTGTTCAGGGTGTTTGTGCAGTGACACCTAAACAGGGAGCAGGAAACAGAAGCTCACAGCACTGGTGATGCCCTATGAGAATGTACACTGGGTGTGGGAGCAGGAGCCTCAGACCTTCCCTCGCCTCCTCCCAGCTGGAATGATCCAGAAACACCCCGAGCTGACTGCAGGGATGGATCCTGGCACTGCTGTGCCCCTGGCCCCAGCTGGTCACTGCTCTCCAGAGCTGCTGGCTGGGCAGAGCCTCCTTTCTGCTCCGAGTCTGGCTCTGAAGTGCAGAAAAGAGTAAAAGAGCCCTTCTGGTTCTGCAAGAGAGAGAATTCCAGGTGAGGACTGGGCTTTGCTGCCCTGCCCTGCTCCCTGCAGATCGTGCTGCTGATGAGCCCGGTGGGCAGGGACAGCTGGGGTCCCTTTGTGGCTCTGACAAAGGGCTGCCACAGCTCTGATTGCTGAATGGGCCTCTCTGGAGTCTGCAGCGCTCTGACTCCGCTGGTCTCTGCTGTTAATCCGTTGTGCTTTGCAGTCCTGATCAAACAACCTCATCAGCAGAGACTGGCACAGGGCATGAGAGGAGGGAGCTCGCTTGATGTGGCTTTTGAGGAGAGCTGTGCCAGCAGGACACAGCTTTGGGACATTGCTCAGAGCAGGATCTGACAGCAAAGCTCCTCACTGCTCACACACAAGTGATGACAGCGCTGAGCCAAGCTGTGGCCAAGCGGGATCCAGGTTGCATCATTTTACTCTGCTTTACAAAATGAGCATCTCTGGGCTCTGCTCACAAAGATATTCAAGCCTGCCTGAGCCAAAGCTGGCAAAGAGAGGAGCTGCCTGTGCTGAGCCCTGGAGCTGCAGCTCTTGTCAGCTCTGTGCTCATGGCCACAGCTGAGACCTGGCTGAACAGCCCAACCCCAGCTGAGGGACAGGTTTGCATCGCTGTTTTTCCCATGAATAGCTTGAAATCAGTGTAGAGCTTGGTACGACAAACCCAAGCTTGGCTCCCTCTCTCACCGTGGGCAACCCCGTTGGGATGTGAAAGTTGGATTCTGAGTCAGGGGCCTGGCCCTGGTGGAAGCTGAGAGCTCTCATGGCTGGAGAGGTGCTGGTGAAAGGCTCTTGCAAAAAACCTGGGTTTGTTCATTTCATGTACAGTCACTGTGCTATTTGTGCCTTTCCCTTTTGCCTGCCCTAATTGGATTAATTAAGAGCAGCTTAAGATTGGACTGCAGGGCACTCACCTCTGACCACGTGGCTGCCTCCATCACATGATCAAACAAACTCCAGTTTGCCCAGTGCCACAGTGAGACGAGTGTTTACTGGTTTTCATTGGAACAAGAACCTCTGACTTGAAATGACTGGTTGGGAATGGGTAAAAGGGAGCAGAAAGAAGAGAAATTGCAATTAATTAGGATCATTCTGTAGGGGAATCGTGGTGTCAGTGTACAGAACATCAGCTGTCAGAGCAGGGCTGGGTGCAGTCCCTGCAGCCAAGGCAGGGTCTGGTCTCAGCAGCAGCAGCTCGAGCCACTGGTAACTCTTGTGGAAAAGCAGTGAGCTGCAGTCCATGGGAGCTGTGCCACCCAGCCTGGGCACCCTGCTCACCCGTGCTGGACACCAGCAGAGCCTGGGCTGGGCACAGCTTCCAGCCAAACAAAGCACTGGCTCATCCCTCCCCTTCTCCCTCCAGCTGGCCACGACTCCTGTGCCAGGCCTCTCCATTCCCATTCCATTTGCTGGGAGCTGATGGCAGGGACCTGGATACCTACTGGGATCTTGAAGACTTTTTGAGCAGCACTGTCTCGGAGCAGGAGGACGCCTTCATCTTCTCATGGCCCACACAGGAGGGGCTGCAGCCACAGGAGCTCCTGCCCGGGGGGCTGGGGGTGTCCGGCAGGGCCAGGCTGCTGTCCCCAGGCAGGGGTCCCTCCTCTGGGGGGCTGGGGGTGTCCGGCAGGGCCAGGCTGCTGTCCCCAGGCAGGGGTCCCTCCTCTGGGGGGCTGGGGGTGTCTGGCAGGGCCAGGCTGCTCTCTCCAGGCATGGGTCCCTCCTCTGGGGGGCTGGGGGTGTCCTGCAGGGCCAGGCTGCTGTCCCCAGGCAGGGGTCCCTCCTCTGTGGGGCTTGGCAGCTTTTCCTCCCCCAGTCCCATGTCCTGCTGGGGCTGAGGGGGTCTGGGTGGGTTTGGGTGCCCCTGAGAGGGGCCCTGAGCTGTGTCCTTGTCATCTCTTGGCGCTCCTGGCGGGGGGGTCCCGGTGGGGCTGCTGGGCCTGGGGGGCTCTGAGGTCTCTGTGGCAGGGGCAGAGCCCTCAGCTGCCCCGTGGCCGCTCATGTGCAGCTTCTTCATGTGGTGCACGACGGCCGCGGCGTTGAAGGCTTGCTGGGGAGGGAGACAAAAGCCCCAGTGAGCAGTTGCTGATGCCAGGACACGCTGTGAACCCCCCCCCCAGGTGACACCAGTGCTGTCAGGACTGGCTGTTTGGCATGGGCACATTCCTGCCATAAACACCCCCTTTCCATCGGGTGCAAGCTGCTGATGTTTGGAGCTCACAGCTGCTTCCAGCCAAGAAAAGCAGGGAACAGCAGGGAATGACCCCCTGCCCTCTGCTCTGCTGGGGAGAGCCCTGCAGCTCCATGTTTGTGGTGAATCTCACTTTGGGAATGTTGCTGCAAACAGCCTGTAGGCATCAACTGCAGGCAGCTCCAGCTTTGGAGGATCCCAGGTTCTGGGTGCTCACCCACCCAGCTGAAGCCCTGCTCGGTGCTGGCTGACAGCAACTGGTGTTTGTTGTGGGCTCCCGGCAGCAGCCACTTACCCTCCATTTGCTCTTTGCAAAGTTTTTCTGGATCTGAGCACTGACAGATGGGTAGATGTCACGGTGAAGGGCTGTATTTCCATTAATCCTGCAGATGGAAGAGAAGGAAATGGGCTCGTAGGCAGATGGCATTTGTAAGGCATTCCACATTCTGGAAGCACCGAGCTGCTTTGTACGTTCAATCAGCAATAATTAAACCCAAAGGAAAAACAGCAACAAAATGTAACACAAACACACACTTCAAAGCCTGGGAAAGCTCAGGGTGGGATTTCTCCTCTGCCTCTGTTTGTGGAGGCAAATATGCACAAATTGCATCTTTAATTATTCATGGTTTGCTTTCTTTGCACACAAGAAGGAGCCAGCCCGGAGCGCGGGGGAGGCGGTGACGTTAATGATGTAAATGATGTTAATGACGTTAATGACGGGGTGGGGGACACTCCTGCTGCGGGGACACTCCTGCTCCCTCTCCCACGGAGCACACAGAGTGACACCTGGGGCTGCAGGAGCCCGTGGCACCGCGAGCCTCACCAGGGGTGCCGCAGGGCCTCCTCGCAGGTGAACCTCGCGCTCGGGTTCTTCTCCAGTAAATGCCGGATGAAGTCCTTGGCTGTTTGGGGAAGGGGGAAAAAGCAGACAGGGAGTTATTGTCTCCTTCTTCCAGAGCTGATCCTAACAGGACATGGGAAATGCTGCTGGATGAACAGCACAGAGGTCAGCCCCGAGGAGAAGGGGGTTGTGTCGCTGCACCAGGGGAGGGTCAGGTTGGATTTTGGGAAGAAGTTCTTCACTGAAAGAGTGGTCAGGCACTGGAAGGGGCTGGCCAGGGTGGTGGAGTCACCGTCCCTGGAAGTGCTCAAAAATGAGAGATGGCACTTGGTGAGGCGGCTTGGTGGGATTCAGTCAAAGGCTGGACTTGATCTTGGAGCTCTTTTCCAACCTTAATAATTCTGTGATTACTCCAGTAAAGGAAGATTCTTATAGTGACAAGCTCCAGATGAAAAAATATAAACTCTGGATGTACCAAACTTCACTCTTAGATTGAGCAAGTTGGAGTTGAATTATTCACCAAAAAAATAACTCTAGAAACCATGAAGTGAAAACTGAGCAGATTTAGAAGTTGCCCTGAAGAGCTCTTACATCTCTCCCTGTTTTTTTCCCCCTTTGTTTTTCTTGCAGGAATGATTGTGATGTTTGTTATTAAACCCCAGCACACCCCCTGCTAGGTTTGTTTGTTTGTTTGTATAAAAGATTGATGTTGAAATAAGCCGTGAGGATGCCGCCTGCAGTGAGCTCCACGAGCAGCTTGGGCTGGTGAAGTGGTGGCTGATGGGACAGAGGGAAAAAATGGGGAAAAAACTGCAGTTTCCCTTCTTACAGAATCACAGAAGGGTTTGGGTCAGAAGGAGCCTCAAAGCTGACCCAGCACCATCCCTTCATTACCTGACTCGGAGATATCATCCCAAAACGGAGACTCGAACTCGAAGTAGCCTTCCTTAATCTTCTCAAAGAGCTTGGATTCGGTTTCCTCATAGAAAGGAGGGTACCCACAGAGCCTGGAACAGAGCAGGGACAGGGGCCCTTCAGTGCCAGCACAGAGAGGGCACAGGCTCCTCCACACGCAGCACAGAGTGGCACAGGCTCCTCCGTGGCCACGCGAGCGAGGAGTGACAGCGGTGACAAGGAGCTGCTCTGCCCCCTCCGCTGTCCCTCTCTGCTCAGGGGATCGGCAAAGCTGCACAAAAGAGTTAAAAACTCCACTGCAGCAGCGAGAGGACAAAGCCACAGCTGGTACCGAGCTGAGAAGTGTGGGAGGAAACGAAACAAAAAGTCCCCGGGAAGATGGAACGGTATTTGTAGGGAACTGGAGAAAAACAAACCACAGGATGAGGCACAGACAGAGCACATGGGATTCCTTTCATCTCCTCTCCTGTGCTCGATTCCCCACGTCCCTTTAGTCTCTGTGTTTGGGCAGACTCGGGAGAGGAGCGGGATGCTGCTGCCCGCCGGTACTCACAGGATGTAGGTGATGACCCCGATGGACCAGCAGTCCACGGCTTTGCTGTAGGGCTTCTGGGCCAGCACTTCGGGGGCTGCAGGACAGCAAACCAAAGGGCAGCTCTGAGCAATAGTGAATTATCCAGCTGGGGGAAGCAGCAGTTTCAGCCAGGAACAGCCCCGTTGCCCAGCTGAATTAGTCTGTGGTTTTTGGATCTTTTTTATGTCGTTACACAGAAAGAACCGCAGACAATCTCTGCCTGCATGCTGAGGTTTAACCACAGAGCTGCATCCAGCCAGTGCAGTCTGGTGGGAATTAAACAAAATCCCATTGCATTAAAAGAATTTTTATATATTTTTTCAATAAATATATTGCCCTTAAAATTACCCTTTTCTTTGCATTTTTAAAATATTGAGATTTTTCAGTCCCTACACTCGTTTATAGGGTCTGTGCAGTGCATCTGTGAGTCCCATGTTGTTACCAACATATTGCTGCATTTCTTTCCCTCTTCCAGGCATGTCCTGGGTGTGCACAACCCTTTCTCCAGGAAATCCATCAGCACAAGCCCACTCCTGCCCCTGGCTCACCCACGTATCCTGGAGTCCCACAGGCCGTGGACATGATCCCGTTCTGCTCCATTTTCGACAGGCCGAAATCCGTGATCATGATTTTGGAGTTCTCCTCGGGGGTGAGGTACAGCAGGTTCTCAGGCTGTGGGCACGGTGAATTAGTGGTGAATTCGTGGTGAATTCATGGCGAATTCGTGGCGAATTCGTGGCGAATTCATGGTGAATTCGTGGTGAATTCGTGGCGAATTCGTGGTGAATTAGTGGTGAATTCGTGGCGAATTTGTGGTGAATTCATGGTGAATTCGTGGTGAATTTGTGGTGAATTCATGGTGAATTTGTGGTGAATTAGTGGTGAATTAGTGGTGAATTCATGGTGAATTTGTGGTGAATTCGTGGTGAATTAGTGGTGAATTCGTGGTGAATTCGTGGTGAATTAGTGATGAATTCGTGGTGAATTCATGGCGAATTCGTGGCGAATTCGTGGCGAATTCATGGTGAATTCGTGGTGAATTCGTGGCGAATTCGTGGTGAATTAGTGGTGAATTCGTGGCGAATTTGTGGTGAATTCATGGTGAATTCGTGGTGAATTTGTGGTGAATTCATGGTGAATTTGTGGTGAATTAGTGGTGAATTAGTGGTGAATTCATGGTGAATTTGTGGTGAATTCGTGGTGAATTAGTGGTGAATTCGTGGTGAATTCGTGGTGAATTAGTGATGAATTCGTGGTCAATTCATGGTGAATTCATGGTGAATTCGTGGTGAATTCGTGGTCAATTCATGGTGAATTTGTGGTGAATTCGTGGTGAATTCGTGGTGAATTCGTAGTGAATTCATGGCGAATTTGTGGTGAATTCATGGTGAATTCATGGTGAATTTGTGGTGAATTCATGGTGAATTTGTGGTGAATTCATGGTGAATTTGTGGTGAATTAGTGGTGAATTCGTGGTGAATTAGTGATGAATTCGTGGTCAATTCATGGTGAATTCATGGTGAATTAGTGATGAATTCGTGGTCAATTCATGGTGAATTTGTGGTGAATTTGTGGTGAATTCGAGGTGAATTCGTGGTGAATTTGTGGTGAATTCGAGGTGAATTCACGGCAAAGGAGGTGGGCAGAGCAGGTGAGGGGGCACGGGCAGGGCTCACCTTCAGGTCCCGGTGCACGATGCCGTTCTCGTGCAGGTATTTGACGGCTGTCAGCACCTGGTGGATCACCAGGCTGGCATCCTTCTCCGTGTAAACACCCCGCTCCAGGATCCTGTCAAACAGCTCTCCCCCAGACACCCTGGGGAGAGAGATAAACGCGGACAAAGCTTTTGTGTTAGCTCAGCTGAGTTTCTGCTCCTTTCTCAGCAGTTTTTGGGAGGCTGATGGATGCTCCTGGGTGCAATGCCAGGCTGCCAGTGGGGATTGCTGCCAAAGCTGGGCAGTTTGGGGGAGCTTGTGAGGCAAGTCCTGCTAGGGCTGGGCTGCAGGGACCCAGCCCTGCCTCAGGCTCCCCTCCACAAGTGGCTAGAGGGTTTTGTTCTTTACTAAACCTGCAGTCAAGCAGCAGCAGCCGGGTGCTCAGAGCTGTTCCCTGCTGCTGACACGGTGCCCATTCCATTTCTAGAAACCCTGCGTGGCACAGCTTTAATTAGAAATACTTCTCTCTCTGCCCTGCCAAACTGTGAGGAATTAATTTGCATAAATAGACCCAAACCGTGGTTCAGAAAGCTGCTGTTAGAACGGGGATGGGCCAAGGGGCCACAAGGAGTGTCCAGGCTGGTGCTGACATCCCACACATGCCCCTGCTCCTGCCCTGGCCCCGGAGGAATGGCTCTGCTGGCACTCACAGCTGCATGACCAGGTAGAAGTGGGTTGTGCTCTCATAAATATCTTCCAAAGTCACGATGTTTTCGTGCTTTATTCTGCAAAGGGAAATGTGGGTCAGAAACAAATCCTGGCAAGGACAAAAGGGGGGAAACCCAGCAGACATCTTGCTTTAATCACCAGGGAGAGTTTGCTGGGGGTTCTGGGGCTGCTGTCCCTCCCCCTGCGTGGCAGAGGATCACTGATCCATCCAATTCCTCTTGGAGCACCAGGCACCATCAGTGGGGGCCAGACCCTTTATTTAAAGTCCCCAGCACATCGGGAATGCTCCTTGCACTGTCACACTCACTTTTTCAGCACTGCTATTTCATTCTCCAGGCTGCTGTCCCTGTTGAGAGGAGACTTCTTGATGCATTTCAGAGCAAAGAGCTTGCCAGTGCTTTTCTGCTTCACCAGGAAAACTTCAGAGAAGGCACCTCTGCAGAGAGGGGGAGAAGCTGCATTTCAGGGGGTGCTGCTTCTGGGAACGGGAGGGACAGGCAGAGAGGGGAAACAGCACAGAAAACTGTGTGGTGGGAACTTTATGTGGGTGCTGATTCTAAAGCTGGAACTGTACTGGAGCAGCCCCAAACTCAGGGTGTTCAAGGCAAGGTTATGCAATGTGAATAAAACCCCACGATTTCTCTGCAGGGAAAATGTTAATTCTGCACGGTCCAGGAGGGAGCTGCAGTTTGGGTTGTGTCACCCAGCATTCTGCAAATCCAAAATGCAAAACAGCAGGGGAAGCCCAGTTAATCTTTAGATTCAGCCTCTGCTTTCTCTCCTGCCTGCAGAGGCTGTGGCCCTGTGTCCCCTCGGGGACAAAGTGACAGTGAGTGTCACAGCGAGTGTCTGCTCACCCCCAGCAGCAGCAGCAGGTATTTATAACCTGCCTAAAATCCTGTTACAGCTTTGTCCTGGGAGCTGAGCACGAGGCTGGGGCAGTGACAGTGACCCTGGGCCGGGCCTGACCTCACTAATCCTCATCAAACCTTTAATGATGCAGCTCCTTAATTGGGGGCGTTAAATGGGACTTGCTGTGAGTCTGCAAAGCCCTGCAGGGAGCTGAGGGCAGGGCAAGGAAGGGCAGTGCTGTGGAGCCTGGGAAAAGTGATAACAACTTGGAGGTGGTTTTAAGTCCCAGATCTTCATTTCAATTCTTCAGAGAGCTGAAGCGACGCATGTGGGAAAAATCCCAATTTCTAATGCTAAATTTTCCTATTAAAGCAATAGTAGGAAATGAACAACCTACAAATCAGCTGCTGGGGCATCTGTTCTACATCTCTGTCCCAAACAGTTTATAATAATTATACCCCTTATTAAAAATGATGAATCAACAAGTGGGCTAGGAGAGAACAAATCTTCTTCTAACCTCGTTCCTTTAGTGAAAGCTGCTGGATAATTCAATTAATCTCTGAGGCTGACAAGGCACAGAATTTGGAGTAGCTGCTTCTTTGGGAGCTTTCTTGTGGGCTCAGAAGTCACAGAAAATTTGTCCATGACAGAACTTGCTGGTGGAGGTAATTCAATTCCTCCCCCACAACCTTGGAAATGTTTTGTTGTCTCATCCCCATGAATAGGCAAATGAAGCTGTTAACGCACAGGGAAGGATTGTACAACTCCAACATCCTTGTTTTTGTTTCATTCCCCGACTGAGTCAGGGTTCCTGAGCTAAATATACAACTTGTTATTGTCATTCTGTGCTGCGCCAGCCCCTGACCTTGCAGCAGCAGGAGCGGGGCAAAAACCCCAAAACCTTCCCTGCAAGAGAGGCTGCCTCGGGGTCAGGGGGGCTGCAGGGAGGGCAGGGGGCACCTGGGGCTGTGCCCGGGGCTGGGGGGGCTGGCTGGGGGTCTGATGCTGTTTGGGAAGGGAGAGCCAGGATGGGAGCAGCAGCAGCAGCATCCTGGGCACCCCTCACCTGCTCCTGGGCACCCCTCACCTGCTCCTGGGCACCCTCACCTGCTCCTGGGCACCCTCACCTGGTCTAGGACACCCCTCACCTGCTCCTGGGCACCCCTCACCTGCTCCTGGGCACCCTCACCTGCTCCTGGGCACCCTCACCTGGTCTAGGACACCCCTCACCTGCTCCTGGGCACCCCACACCTGCTTCTGGGCACCCCTCACCTGCTCCAAGAGACCACTCACCTGCTGCTGAGTACCCCATACCTGCTCCTGGGCACCCCTCACCTGCTCCTGGGCACCTCTAACCTGCTCCTGGGCACCCCTCACCTGGTCTAGGACACCCCTCACCTGCTCCTGGGCACCCCAACCCTGCTCCAGAGCACCCCTCACCTGGTCCTGGGCACCTCTCACCTGCTCCTGGGCACCTCTCACCTGCTCCTGGGCACCCCTCACCTGCTCCAAGAGACCCCTCACCTGCTCCTGGCCAGTCCCAGAGCAGCGGGTCCCTGGGACACTGGGCAGGGCCAGCAGGGTCTGGGGACACTGGGCAGGGCCAGGAGGATCTGGGGAGCTGGGCTGGGGCTGCTCCTGCCCCGGGCCAGCGCTGGTACTCACGAGCCCAGGGCCTCCATGAAGATGAAGGTTTTGCGGATGTTGCTGGTCTGCTTCTTCCAGGAGCCGCTGCCATCCTCCTCCTTGCGCCCCATCTCCTCCAGAGTGGAAGCAGGAACGCTGCGAGGAGGAGGAGGAGAGGTCACTGTCACTGTCACTGTCACTGTCACCATCACTGTCACTGTCACCGTCACTGTCACGGTCTGGGCTGGCAGGGAGCCCAGGACTCCCCAGTCACAGCTGGACTCAGAGCTGGACAAGGCCTGGGGGCTGGGAAATGCTCCCCAAATCCCTCAGAACTCGTCATGAGATCGGGTCTGGGGACACTGGGGAGGGACACTGGAACCTGAGACAAGGGAAAATAGATATAAAAGTGACCCTGGGCAGCAGGGAGCGTCCCTGGGAGTGGGGAGCATCTCCTGCCCAGGGCAGGAAGGCAGCCAGGGGCTGTGGGGCACTGCTGAGCCTTCAGAAGACAAAGCAAAAGCTCTCCTGGATGTTTTTTATCCCTTTGGAAAAGGCAGAAGTATTAAAGCAGAGAAAAAGCTGAAAGGTCTTTTTTTCCATGAGAGACTGCTTAGATATTGGATTCCTCCTGAACCTACTTTATCTCCTTAATTAGCACGTTTGCAGGGTTCTCAGCTCCTTGACACAATTTTTAAAGGTTAATTTAACATTATTGAAACCAAAATTGACTCAGTTGTAAACAGTTGAAGCCTTCAGTCCATAAAATCACCAAAGGCCTCATGAACCTGACCTTTATTTACCTCTTGTTGGTGATGCCTGTGTAACTCACAGAAATGCAGCTCCTTCTAGAGCCCAGCCTTATATTGCTTTTGAAATCAGGGAAGGTCAAAAGTCCTTCACAAAAATGCTGATCAATCAGTAGAAAACTTTCTGCCATTACTTGAAGTTCCTAAATAATGTTTTCTTTGCAGTCATCAGCAAAGAAAACCCAAATCTACAGATCTGGAATAGCACAGAAAAAGAATTTGCTGGCAGAGACTTTCAGCTGTGACAGCAGGTGAGTTTTACCCACTTTAAATAAATATCAGACCTGGCAGGGTGGTGCTGAGTGACAGGGAAAACTGAGAGGAACTCTCCATTCCTGTCCCTGGCTGCTGCCAACCAGAGAACATGAGGTGGAAAAAGAGAATAAAAACCCCAAGTAGGTCAGCCTGGCCCTGGGGACAAGTGGCATTTTGGGCTCCTGTGCTGCAGCACGTCCTGGCTGGGAGCAGCTCCTGGGACGGAGGGAACGGGGCAGGGAGAGCCTGGGAACAGGACAGGCAGAGGTGACTGTCCCCAGCACTGGGGGACAGCGGGTGACGGACACTCACTTCTGAGAGTTTGTCCCATCCCAGCCCAGGGGTTCAGTCTGCCCAAGCCTGGCTCATTTCAGCTCCACTCCCTGAGTATTCTGATGTTTAATTCCTTGTGAATTCAACAAGTTCCCTACTCTAAAGGGAGTTTTGCTCCCAAGGGAAGGAGGGTGGTGTTTTCCCCGCTCTCTGTGAATCATGTGCTGGTCCCAGAGCTGCTCCTGCTGTCCCCTGGAGTGTGGCAGTGCTGCTGGGCACAGGCTGCAGGAGCAGCCCTCGCTGCCTACGCCTGGGGCTGATTCCTGCTTCCTCAGTTTCCCTGTGCCATCAGCACAAGTCATGTCCTGCCTGCCCTCGCCTCTCTGGAGGAGCGGGAGGAGATGCTGCTGTTCTGGAGCAAAAGAATGGAATGTCTGAGCTCCTGAGGTGGGAAGCTGCCCGTGGCAGGGGGGAAGGGAATGTCTCTAAGGTCCCCAAACCATCCTGTGATGCCAGCAGTGCTCAGGTGATGGACATTCACCCCCTCTGCTCCTGCTGGGTCACATCCTTCCCCTGGATTTCCCTCTTTTGGTACCAGGGGAAGGGTTTGCCCAGGGGTGGGTGCAGGACACAGCGGCCTCTCAGCCCAGCAGTTGTGGGGTCGGGAGAATGGGAATTCCCTGGGTCTGTGGGAGCTCCCCAGGGTCTCTCACTCTGCCTGAATCACCTGTTGCACTCGCAGCAGTTGGGCACAAGGCAATTCTTGATGTAGCTGCTGTTTGTCTTTTGTTATTTATTCAAGCTGTGGTGCAAGAATCCCCAAACCCCAGACTGGTTTGGGTGGGAAGGGACCTCAGAGCCCCTCCAGTGCCACCCCAGCCACGGGCAGGGACACTGCCACTGTCCCAGGCTGCTCCAGCCTGGCCTTGGCACTGCCAGGGATGCAGGGGCAGCCCCAGCTGCTCTGGGCACCCTGTGCCCTTCCCGGTGCCCAACCCTGGGTTTATGGATGGACTCCCTCAGCTAGAGAAACTTCCCCCAGCAGTGGGACCATGGCAGAGGATGGGCAAACCCCTGCTGCTGGCATTTCCTGCCCTGCTCTGTGCCCACCTGCACACTCCCACCCCTGCCGTGCCCTCCTTCCCTGCCAGCTCCACCCTGACCCCAGCCCTGGCAAGCACACAGAGGGTACCCACGGGCACCTGGAATTCACATTATTTTAAATAATTATTTCAATAATTCACATGATTTTAACCCCTGATCCCAGCAAGGGGCTGTGGTGCCCTTGTGCCCGTTCACCTCCGGGCAGTGCCAGCACACCGGTGTGCCACGGTTGCATAATGAGATTGAAAAGCTCATTAAGTAATGCAGGTGAGACCCTCTGGAGCTGGGAGTGAAAAGCTCATTAAGTAATGCAGGTGAGACCCTCTGGAGCTGGGAGTGAAGTGCATGACACAGCTTTGATTTGTGGAGCTTCCCCATCCTAACAAACACAGCCACATGCAGGGCTTCACCTGGGTTTATATCCTGGACAGGAGATAATAAACAAGTGTGGCATCAATGTCTGACCTCTGGGCTCTCCCAGAGCCTGAGCCAAGCAAGCTCTGCCCTGGCTGATCCTGCACGACACTGCCAGGGTGCAAGACTTGTTATTATGACCTTGCTTAAATCTTTCCCGAGGAAATCTCTTCTGCTTCCACATCCCACGGCAACAAATGCATCTGCAGCCAGCCCCTGGTTCTGAATGGATGCTCTGCATTAGCAGAATGATTGTAAGTCATGATTAATGGTCTCGTGACAAACTTCCATGTGCAGGGGGAGCAGACTTGCAGCTTTCAGGGCTTTGCCTTTGGAATTAGAAGTTTATAGGAAAAAAGGGGGATAAAAATTCAAAGGGCTTTGATTTAAAAAAAAAAATAGAGCAAAGCAAGCAAATCTGCATGTGAATGAATGAATGGATGGATGAATGAATGAACGAAGTGCCAGGGCAGCCTCCGTGTTCAGGGACAAAAGAACAAGAAATTGAAGCCACGAGCTCGCCATTAAAAACAAACCCACATCAAAGCTCCCGTGTCCCCCCACCACGCCATCCATTCCAAGGCAACTTGGGGGACACTTGCAAAATCTCCATTTTCATGGTAAATAGCCCAGACTTCCTACAACACGTTGGATGGAAAATGTCAGAGACAGCTTTCTATGAAATCGCGGAAGGCAACACGAGTGCCGGAGGACACTACGGAGGAGAAGTCCTCTGGTGTTTCCCTGCTACGAGATAAAACCAATCCAAAGCAAAGCAGGTGAGCAGGGCTCCCACCTGCTTCACTGCAGGAGCAGGAACAGCAAACGGCTCGTAAGGAAAGGAAATTTTGCTTACCCAAGTCAGCACAGACAAAGCAACTCCTGTTGGCTGCTCGCGCTCGGCGCCGAGTCTGCGGGGATTAGAGCTCGGCAGGAGGAGGAGGAGGAGGAAGAGGAGGAGATGGAGCCCAGATGGTAACCAGGGAGCCACCAGGGGCACGGGGACGATGCAGCAGGGCTGGCAGCCCCGGTGGCAGCAGGCTGAGGGCTGGAGCTGGGCGTGCAGCAGCCGCTGCTGAGCCATCCCCGGCTGCGCTGCAAACCGAGTCTCCTTCCTCGCCCCGACAGCTCCCCGGGGCTTGGACACCGCCCCACGGCCCTGGCATGGGCTGGCAAAGCTGGCATTTCTGTGGGACTGCCCCGGGAGGGACAGGCTGTCCCGGCAGGGGATGCTCCTCACCGTCTCTGAATGGCACAAACCTGGAGAGCGATCGCTGGGCAGAGGTTAATCCCCATGCCCGGATTTGGGGCTGTTTTACCCCCCACAATGGCTCTGTTTTGGCTTTCAAAACCTCCCTGTGAGTGCCTGCTCAAGCGCAGCACGTATGAAAAGAGGAAATGTGAATAATTCTTTGAATCTTTTCTACGGTGTGGGATTTTTAGAGCTGGCAATAACAACTTTACTGACTGCATTCTCAGCTGATTTACACTGCCATCTAGAATAATGCATGGGAAAAGTCTGTATCATTGTGGAGTTTAGTTTTATGTCAGGAATAAATCAGCTCTGAGGCAATACTTGAAAATCACCTTCTTTTTCTCAGTGTGTTTTCCCTCACGAGCTTGGTTCCAAGGCAAAGGCTCTTGGGTGTTGCTCCTGTCTTTGCTGGTCGGGCTCCATCCCTGGGAACTCCCCAGAGATTTCAGTCAGGATTCCTGGACGTGGCTCTGAACGTGCAGGATTCCTTCAGTGCGAGGTTTGGGTGGAATTTGCAGGGATTTTCCCTTGAAAGCCTTGTAAGGCCTCACCTGTGGAGCGAGGAGTCCCACTGCTGGGGAGACACCAGAGTGGAGTGGGGGGCTTTTGGGGGGTTTATTGGGTTTATTTGGTTTATTAGAAGAGTAGATTAGGGGAGGTTATTGGGGTTTATTAGGGGGGTTTATTGGGTTTATTAGGGGGGTTTATTGGGGGGTTTATTAGATTTAGATATTTATTTATTAGATACCCCTCTAATAAGAGGGGTATATTAGGGGAGATTATTGGGGTTTATTAGGGGGGTTTATTTGGTTTATTAGGGGGGTTTATTAGGAGAGTTTGGGGGGTTTATTAGAGGGGTTTATTAGGGGTTGTTTTGGTGGGGCTTTATTAGAGATTTTTTGGGGGGATTATTAGGGGTTTTTTGGGGGTTATTAGGGTTTTTTGGGATGTTTATTAGGGTTGGTTTTGTGGGGTTTATTAGGGTTTTTTGGGGGGCTTATGAGGGGGTTTTTTTGGGTGTTTCTTAGGGTTTTTTGGGGTGTTTCTTAGGGGGTTTTTTGGGGTGTTTATGAGGGTTTTTTGGGTGTTTATTAGGGGGGTTTTTTGGTGTGTTTATTAGGGGTTTTTTTGGGGTGTTTATTAGGGGTTTTTTGGTGTGTTTGTTAGGGGTTTTTTGGGGGGTGTTTATTAATGGGTTTTTTTGGTGTTTATTGGGTTTTTTTGGTGTGTTTATTAGGGGTTTTTTTGGGGTGTTTATTAGGGGTTTTTTGGGGGGTTATTATGGTTTTTTGGTGTGTTTATTAGGGGGTTCCCAGCCATCCTGGGGTGGTTTGGAGCAGCTCGAGGTGAGCTGAGGAGCACAAAGGGAAGCTCTGCCTGTGCCACCCCCAGAGCTGTTTGGGGGGAGGTGGCTGTGCCAGCCCAGCCCTGCCTGACCCCCGCAGAACCCAGTGGGCACAAACCCCCAGGGCCCTGCTGGGGCTGGCCAGGAGTCAGAGGAGGGAGAAGCATTCCTGGGAACAAGGAAGGGGAGCAGAGCTCCTCGGCTGCAGCGCTCCCACACCCCAGAGCTCAGAGCTCAGCCTTCAGAAACAGCCGGAGGAAAACAGCAACAACCTGCAGGAGTGAGGGGGAGAGCTCCCGAGGGCTCAGCTGGGCAGGAATCCACGGAGATGGGGGGCTCCTGACCTTCCCGATGGAAATCTGGGGCAGCAGCAGCGCAGCGCAGGGCCCTGTGCTGAGCTGGAGCTAAAATAGCTGTTGTTACCCAGAGCAGCAGGGAAAGCTGCACTGCTGGCTGTGAATCAGACTGAGGGGGTGTCAGGGAAACAGCAAATGCTCGGCACAGCAGCCCCTCTGCACGGGGGGAAGGTGCTGCTGCCCCCACCCCTGGGGAGAAGCACCTGGAACACGCCTGGGAGGAAAGAGAAAATATCTCCTGAGAGTCACGGAAAGGATGGAGAGGGGATTGCACAGAGGCAGCTGGTGACAGGACAAGGAGGAGCGGTTTCAAACTGGAAGAGGGAAGATTTGGAGTGGGTGCTGGGAGGGAATCCCTCCCTGGCAGGGTGGCAGGCCCTGGCACAGGTGCCCAGAGCAGCTGTGGGTGCCCCTGGATCCCTGGCAGTGCCAAGGCCAGGCTGGGCAGGGCTGGCAGCACCTGGGACAGGGGAAGGTGGAAACAGATGATCTTTACCATCCCTTCCCCCCCAGACCCTCAGTGAGAGGGGAACAGATCCCTTTGGGCAGCAGCTGCGTGCCCGGGGGGTTCAGGGGGAGGGTTTTGAGCCAGAACCCCCTGAATGCACACACACACTCAGCAGGCAAACACGGGGCCAGGGCTGGCATCCCTGGGCTCTCCTGGAGCCTGGCTCTGCCCTGCCAGCCCCGGCTGTGCCTCACCCAGGGGCAGCCCCGGGTGGCCCTTGGGGACACGGGCGGCTGTGGCAGGGCTGGGCGACGCTGGGCTCGAATTCCTGAAGGTCTTTCCCAACCCCAAAGCGTTCTGTGACTGAGGCCAGGTCCGGGACAGCCCTGGGAGCCGCAGCATCCCGGGCTGGAGCCAGCAGAGAGCACTGCAGCACAGCCGATGAGCGCCGGGCCCCGGCAGCACGGGGAAAGCCTGGAGGAAAGAAAAGCTGGGAAAACACCCGCGGTGCCGCTGGGGCTCCGAGCGGCTGGCCGGGGGGAGTTACAGTGGCACAGCTCCTTGGAATAAAGTGCATTTCAAGAACGCCTTCCTGGCAGCTTTATTTGCCTTTCTGCGTTGCCCTGATCAGGGCTCTGTGAAGCAGGGAGGCTCCTCCATCCACGGCAGGCTGGGAATGGGCCGAGGAGGGGCTGCATCCTTGGAGTCGCCTCGATTGGAAGGAGCTGCTCTTTTCTCCAGGCTTTGTTTTTAAACTTCAGTGGATAAACTGGTGAAGGAGCTCAGGCTCAGGTTTTGCACGTTGTCCTTAACCTGGGGATTCTGGTCCTGGAGACTACATGGTAACCACTCATTTAAAAATGGCAAAGAATCATACCATTAGCTGCTGATTAACACTGCTGTTAATTACCCTGTTCAGTGGCACATTTACTGCACAGCTTCATTATCTGTCCCTAAATAATTCCATCCATCTCTTGCATCTCCATCATTTCCTTACAAACCTGCTTTGGTGGGACACCCAAACCACCATCCCCAAACTGACCCACCAGCCAGGCTTTGGGGATTTGGTGATTTGGGGATTTGGGGCTGCATTGCTGCATGTCTCCAACCTGAGCTCTGAGAGCCCCCACGAGGAGAGGCTGATTGGGCACCCTTGGTCACCCTGTGTGGAATTCCAGCCTCACATTCCCAGCCCACACAGAGCCCTTCCTGTGCTGCCAGTTCATACCCAGAGCTGAGGAAGAGGAAGCCAGTTAGGAACCTAAAAGGGCCTTTCATTAGCCCTTTGAAAAATTCAGTGCTAATTATGCAGGTTTGAATAGATGTTTGCTCAAGGGGTTAATTATGCATCCCTGAAGAGCAAAACTTCCTTTAGTGCATCTGGGGAGGCTCAGGGATCCCTGGCTGCCTTGGGGCCTTCATCCCCTCCTTCATCCCCTCCAGGCCCTGCCCATCTGCTGGGAGAAGCAGCCAGCAGTGCCCACCCCTCACTGGTGTGGGGCTGTGCTGGGCTTTGGTTCATGTCCTTCCCTCAGGGCAGCTCCCAGCACCGTCCCCAGCCTTTGGGATTCCCTGGAAGCTTCACCTGGGACAGGAGCACAGTGGGAATGAACCTCAGCGTCCTCCAGAAGCCCCCAGGGAGGTGCCTGCCCTGCCCAGGGCCCTGTGCTCTTGGGGAGAATTCAATACTTCAACTTTTACGGGCAAAGAAGGCAGCAGGAGCGACGGAATTCAGAATTTCCAGAGCCATTCCCTTTGCACCTCGTGGCTGCACAATATTCCCTCCCCGAGCAGAGGGTTGGCCACAGGATGGCTTTTGCAGTGGGGAGGACAAGGGAGGGATCCTTGGGGACACTCAGGGTCTGGGCTGGCTCCGTGCTCACCCCCAGCCCCCTGCAGCACCTCCTGCCCATGAAATCCCGTAAATCAGCACGAGTTCACTGCAGCATGAACCATCTCGGTGTTTGTGTGCTCCTCTGCTCGTGCTGCACAAGCCCACCCTCACTCTTCCCCTCAGCAAAAACGAATTAAAAGAGAAGGAAGAGAAAACCAGACCGTTTCCCCCAGGCCACAGAATGTCTCAGATATCCATTTCAAGGTGTTTATTGCAGCCTTTCATCCCCCTCCCCGACCGTTTGGGCTGAATTCCCTGCCTGGCAACAGATGGGATACCAATTTATTTTTAGCAGTTTGTTTGCTTTGAGTGAACCCTCAAACACCACCCTGCTTTCAAGCCCGTGAAGCACCTCGGGGGCTGCAAGGTGGGCTGAACTCTGCACCAGGGAGGTCAGGACAGGAGCTCCTGGGCTGGGACATCCCAGCTCGGGGTGTTTGCCCTCCCATCCACGGGGCTCTGAGCCATTAATTCCATTTCACAGGAATTTCCATTTCACAGCCTGACCTCTCCATCAGTGCCACAGAAATTCAGAAATGCCTCACGCAGCCCCAAAACTGGCACGTCACCCCTGTGTGCAGTCCCTGCACAAGATTCCCTCAGCTCTTTGCTAAAATTGCCCTTTCAGGCACAGGGAGCTGCCTTAGACCCTTCCTTTTGTGCCTCCCCACAAATGGCTTTTAATAATTAAGTGTAATGGAGGAGCTCTGATTGGATTCCTCACTCAAATGGTTAATTGAGTATTTCTAAATAAGTTACAAAATGTGTTCCTTTGGACTCAGCTCCTTTTGCTTTATCCAAACTAAAATAC